TTTTGTACAGGTCGGTTATTATTATATTAATATGTATGCTAAAAAGCTAAAATAATGGAAAATGGCAACCATTTTGTATTGTAATAGCTCAAAAATGTGTACAATATTTAGTTAACTGTTGTTGTAATTGTTATGAGTGGATTTCCAATTGAATACTGCATTTGAATGACATAAATTTACAATATTAGTGACAATTCTAGGAAAAGTTGGCGGCAATTTTGAAACTGCTGGCAACCCCCTTACGTATGAAAAAAAAAATGTTGCACATACTTTTTTGATTTATCTATGTCTACTCTACATCATATTCAAGTTTTTAAAAATATAGCAAAAAAAAATGCAACCTCTGATATTGCTGCATTTCGGACTAAACTTAGGTTGAAAATAAGGAAGTTGGTAATCCGATAGGCTTTAAAATCGCATGTCAAAGGGAAATAGTCTGCACGAGTCCTATAATGTTATTGTACAGCAGATGCATACACTACCAGTCTATTCATACACTACGTGCGAGTTTAAGTACAAAATGAAGGTACCAGAGATTGAATGCTACAACATTTCAATGGAATCTGATTGAGACATAATATGATTATAATAATGAGAAAACTTCGAAAGTGATCAGAAAAAATGAAAATGAGAGAAAGCTTGTACAACAATGAAGATTATGAGAGGCTATTAAGTAGGGTGTAGATTAAAGTTTTTTCATTCTCACAATAAAGATCGGAATGTTCAATTATGGCCTCCCTCTCTCGGAGTAACATTCGTTCTATGTTATTTAAATATAATCGGTACATCTGTTGAATACAGTATATACTACCTTGAGGAAATTGTCATGTAGTTTAAATAATAGGCTACTGAACTTGCGAATTCATTTAAACAAAGAGTTTGGTTCTTTATAGGGGAACACAAAAACGTACTACTTTTTGTACAAATACGTAAACGCGAATGAGAAATTTTCTCGATAAGAAGATAGCGAAAGCTCTCTAATGAAGATCATGAAAAATAGAACAAGAAACTATTCTTGCCAAATGAAATATTACCATTGTTATAGTCATTGTAATATCATACTGAACAAAATTAAAAGGGAAAAAAAACTAAGGAAGGAAGAGGAAAAAAAATCTCTCTTCTGTCATCTGGAGTACCACAGCAGCAACAGTAGGCCTACAGTACAGAGCTTTAAACTGACATGCATTTCAGAAGATCCAAATGGATGGTTGAGCACTATGATACCTGCTTATACATAGTAATAATTATATATAGAATAAATGCAGAGGTTAATGGAAGTGCAATTTTTGTAGGCCTATTATATTTTAAGTATTTTAAAGTAATAATTATTAGCCCTGATAGATTGAATAAATGGAGGTCCACGACATTGTCTCAGCAGTTGTCATTAAACAATCACTTTCATAATACTATAATAGCCTAGACTCAGCATTGTGTCAATGCAACCCCAACACCTTCTTTTCCAACATGGCAGCAAATTATATTGCACCACCCAAGTACTGGAGGTTAAAATACTAAAAATGGCCAGGAATTAAAGCTTTTTTTTTTTTTTTATTGATATAGGTAGGGATTATTTTATGATTTAGGCCTAGGCCTAGTTCTACATTCTCAATCTTCGCAATTGATCCACATACCCAATTTACATCTGGGCATGCCATAAATCACATAGTTGTTGAGCGACATGACCGAATACTGTACGCCACTGATGATGCATGCTATAATACTCTCCTCACTTTACCAATTAGGCTTAGGACCTAGCCTAGGTCCCTACTTACTACTACTATACTAGGGCCTAGCTTCCTAGAGTACTAGCTAGGCCTAGCCTACTAGGCCTACTACTACTACTGTGTACTGTTGCTGTACCACAGCGATCGGTATACAGAAATACTGTAACTGATAGTATCCTCTAGCCTGGTTAAAAGTAAATTTGACACTCTTCCCTTAAGTAAAACTAACCTGTAAAATAATCACTAGAGTTTTGATTATAATAGCTGGTATTTATCAAATACAGCACAGGCATACGTAGGAGTTCCTGTCTCGTGTTGTTTTGTACCGGTCCACCAGTACGTGTCGTATTGTGTCGTCGTAGTATGTAGTATGTTGGTCCAAAGAGTATAAATAGAACAAGAGAGCAAAGTCCCGTTCGTAAAAACGTCATGCCTGTGTAGGACGCCAACTAACGGTTGTATATTCTTTTTATTACCCAGTGCAGCGCGCGCGATTTTTTTTTTCCGTACGAAACATTTACATGAAACTCCACTCGAGCCATCTCGACTGAATCGACTCGGGCCGAAAATCTCATATTGCAGAATTCAGGAGGTCAAAAGGTCATCAACAGATAAACGTCTACAAAATGCAAACAACATCTGAGAGAACGTCGCTGTCTGATTTTTAAATTTTATTTCTTCATGAGTAAATTTCTCTCCCCCACCCTTCAATTTAAATCATTACTTAATTTTAATTTTGATTATCATAGTCATTTTACCCGCTCTTCAAATCATCTTTATATTCCCTTTCATAGAACTATTTGTTTCTAGCACAATATTCAATATACTGGTCCTAAGCTATGGAACAATCTCCCTCACTCCATTTATAATTCCTACTCTAAAAAAAACTTCTGTTCAAGACTGAAAAAACATCTCTTATCAAGTAATGCATAATTTTCTCCTTTTACTCATTCTCGATCTCCATTACCAACTCGTTACATTTTGTTTTTGTCCCAAAATTATAAAAGAAAAAAATGCATTTCTAGCATCCTCGTGTTGTCTGCTTCGTCTGTCTTGTCTCTTGTTTCCCGTTGTCCTGTCCTATCCCCTGTTGTCCTGTCCTGTTTCTGTTTTGGCTTTGGTTTTTCTGTGTGTTTATTTCAGGGCAGCCCTACACAAGCTTCGCTTTCTAGGTTTCGCCCCTCAAAATTGGCTGGTTATTTATTATTTGCATTATTATTACTTTTGAGAAATAAATGTTTTTTTAACTTAAACTTGAACTTGAACCCAGGCTAGTGGTAGACTTGTGTGTACAGTAAAGCGCTTTTTGTGTCTACTGCCCCATCGGGGGCCATTGGCCATTGTCATGATGTAGCAATTAAAGATGGCGGAAAAGGGTAAATCCGGTGGAGGAATGATGGGCACTACTACCACTAGGTAGGGGGGCGGCCTCAATCGAATAGCGTTCGGAACTCGAACAAAATTGCGTTCGAAACTCGAACATGCGTTATATACGGGTATAAAAGTGTTTTTAGTGATAATAGTGTAGGCCTATACAGAATATTGTTATGGAAGAAAATTTTCATTAAAAATCCAGATGCACTACAATAATACGCACATCTGCATATTGAAGAACATAAGACTGAATTCAAAAACAAAAACTCCTGTATAAGGCAGTAGACACACGCTCTCGCTGGGAGCTTTTTTTTTTAATTAGGCCTACTCAAACATTATTATATTTATAGCTGCCAAGTTGAGCGGTGTTGCTTGCTTCATAGAGAATCACACCCACCGCCACCATTATTTCGGCTAAGGTTGCGGACATTTTTTAGCACCTTATACTCTGGAAAGACACCTCGAGTCATCAGAAACTTGAAGTGATTGACTGGAAACCATTAAAAAAAATGAAAACCTTCCACTATGAAAGATATAGGGTCTAGGTCTAATGTATTATAATAAGGCTGATGGCCGGGAATCGATAAACTGTATAGTTCCTGCTTTTTATTCTGTTTTTCAAATGTTGCAGTATCAGAAAAGCGCGCCATTTAGGGATGAGATTTTCAGTCTCATTGTGAGATCAGCTTGAGTCTGCTAATTCTAAGTGAGACCATAGAATCTACGGGATTTTGGATTGCAAAAGGTTTGTCAGAGGGTCATTAATTAGTTAGACAAGCTGTAGGCCTATTCCCATATTTACCGGGTGTTATTTATATGATCACACGCACATGATGGGCACATCACTACGGGCCACGTACACAAAATTTGAAAGCCTGCTGGACAGAGCAAAAAGCCTTGTCTAGGAACGTAAAATTTTAGGCCTAGGCTATATTTGACAAAAAGGTGACATGCCTAAATGATGACCATGATGAGATCACATAATGACCATAATAGGGATCATGATGGGCATACAATATTTTTTTTGTCAAAGACAAATTTGATTAAGGGTGCTAACAGATAGGCCTAGGCACTGTACAGTATGTCACTGGAAATAGTGAGAACGACTTAGATAGAAGGCCTTATTAAATGCTGCAAGTGATTTCGCCGAAAAAATATAAGATGGCTTTTAACTACCGTAAAACCTCGAATTGAAGCCCATGGGCCTCTTATTTTCTTTGCAAACTTTGGATGGGCTTCTTTTCAAGGTGGGCTCTTTTTTTAGACTACTTTTGCAAAGTAAGGCTTCTTTTCAAAATGAACGCTGTACATTTTGTGAATTTGTATTATAAAACAATAAATAATATAAGGCCACTGTAACATATTATCATGGAGTGTAATTTAGCTCGCATTAATTTAATAATTTAATCGCTTCTATTTAATTTATTTTGTTTTCTGAAATTCATGTACAGTGTATGTGACTGTATTATCTTGAAAAGAAGCCTATGCTATCTTGAAAAGAAGCCCATGGGCTTCATTTTGAGATGGGCTTCTTTTCTAGGTTGATTTTGCAAACTAAAAAGGGGGCTTCAATTCGAGATTGGCTTCATCTCGAGATTAAGTGGACTTCGCGATTCGAGGATTTACGGTGATACGATACTGTAAGTCGTCTGTCAACAGGACAGAGTATTAACAAATGGAGATAAAAGAAACAGGTAATTCTGGTATGTTTATCTCTAGATTTGTATTAGATACCGTAGCCTAATCACCATATTGATGAAGTCATCAAAAAAGAAAATAGAATTAATGCCTATATTTAAAATAAATAGTTAAGGAACAGGAAGTTTCTAACAGATTTTTTTTTTATGGTGACCTATTTTGGAAGACAGTCGGTCTTCCCACAATCAATTACGCATGTAGTGTCTGGTTTACAGTAAAACATCCGTTGACTGTATTGGAAACTTTCAATACCAAATGGCAAGATTTTTACTTAAATCCCCAAGATGCCAAAGAGGCCTTTTATGGTGATCAAGGGTGGCATTCTGTAGAATCCTTCTAGACAAACATTAGAACTGCATACAAATAGACTTAAAAACATGGAAGAGGTGGCCAATATTTCTTTTTCAAGCTATATTTGAAGTATATGATGTTCAAAATGGCAATGTTAAATAATATTAAGAGAAGTCTCAATAATTATAATGCATTAGATCGTTTCAATCTTATAATAAAGCTTTTTAACAAATGTATATGATAAATCAAATGGTTTGATCGTGCTCAAAAAAGTCGTCACCGGACTACACATTACATATAAATCTGAACCATTTTGAGTCATACCTCCTTGACAAATGTAACTCATTGTGAAGTGGCTCTTAAATTTAAAGCTCGATCAAATTCTCTAGATTTAGAAGGTCACAAGAAGCCTGGTCAACTTTAAACACAAGCCTTGCAAATTATGTAAAAGTGGTTGTAAAGAAACAGTAAATCACTTTGTTTTTAAAAAATGCTGTAAATTTCATAATATTAGAGATGCAACTTTCAGGAACTTAAAAATGAACTTAATGAATACAAACTTGATATTTTGGGATGTTTACTTCAAGTTTAGCATATTTTAGACACCATATTTTCTTTGATGACCTGTCTATCCATAATGAATTTCCCCTTATATACGGTACACTTTGATTTATTCTGATTACAATGATGAAAGTTTTATTTTTGACAAATTTGTAAAAAAATACCTTTATATCGCTTGGATGAAGAGCAATGAGCTGTAATGCTATCTTCTAGAACATCTGCTAAATTTGAATTTCATTCTGCCCTGGTCCGTGAAATTAAGTGCAAGAAAAAAAAAACAATTACAAAAAATGACGTTCCGTTAATTTTAAATGAATACTGTGTACAGGTTTTTGTGCAGCTCAGTTTGTTTCATTTCATTTACTAACCTTATGATAATAACACTTTCTGAGATATGCAAATAAGGGTAAAACATTACGGTAACTTGCTTGGTTTTGTTTTATGTTATGCTATTCTACCCGGTTTTTTTTTTTTGTTTTTTTTTTTTTTTTTTTAAATTTTAATTAGTGTAAGTTGTTTTTGGACTTTATTTTTGCTTTCCTTTGTTTATATTTTATATTCTTCTTTGGTGCACCATCAAAGTGGTGGGTGCAGTACTGAATGGGTGCCACTGATCTCTGAAAGTGAACCCAATAAATCGTATCGTATAGTCATTAGAGGGCGCTATTTATATAATTCGATGAATTGAATTGCATATATCATGATATCATGTTATCGCATCATAACGTATCATATCATATAATTTATTTCGCCTTAGATATTTGTTGAACCATGGAGGAATTGTTTAACCAATACAAAAAAATTGAATGTGGCAGAATTATCAAAATGTTATAAAACGATAAATAACAGTCAAGAGGGACGATTTGATATTAATATTAAAAGAATAACCAAAGTATGGAGGCCGTATTACAATAATGTTAACAAGCCTGTATATGTATGAGGCGCCTAGTGTAAATTTATTATTTAACACAATTATTTAACATTTAATTGAATAGATCACCCATTATTTATATATAATGCATTTACGTCTAAAAGATTATATGTAAATAATTGCGTTAACGTTTCATTATGTATATATAATTAGTTTACTGATTACATTATATTATATAAATAATTAAAGGCTAACCAAACATTATTCATATATAATAAGGTTACTGGTTTCATTATATATAAATAAGGAAGGGGTAACACATCATTATATATCAATAATGAAAAATAACTTTAAAATATTTATAAGTTCACTGATTCCATTATATATAAATAGTGAAAAGGTAACAAATCGTTATATATTATAAATAATGAAAAGTAACTTACGATTATTTATATATAAGTTTAATGATTTCATTATATATAAATAACGAATTGACTTCAAACTCATTATTAGATAAGTTTGAAGTCAATTCATTATATATAAATAACGAATTGACTTCAAACTCATTATTAAATAACTGCTTTTACATTTTATTATATATAAATAATAGCTGTCGCAAAACCATTATAGGCCTCTGTATATAATGTTTGGACTTCAAACTCATTATATGTAATGCACACGTGTTATCGTGTCAGTTATATCTAAATAACGGATTTTACTTCAAATTATATATAAATAACCTTTGAGGTCGAGTGCCATTATATATAAATGACATCGTAGGAAGCCATGGTTTATAAATAATATTCGTTATGCAAATTACGAAGTAATAAACATTCACCAGTTGTCTAAAGTTACAATTAGAGTCTATTTACCTATAAAAAATGCACAGCAAGGGATACAGCAGATTATTAAATCCAGACAGGGGCGGATTCAGAGATGTCCAAAAGGGGGGGGGGGCGAAAGGGGGAGGGCCAAAATTTGGGCCGATCGAGACAATAATGTCCTAGGGGTTTCCGGGGGCATGCTCCCGCAAAATGTTTGTGTTCTAGACGCCCGAAAATAACATTTGAGGCGTTGTGGGCTATTATTTTTTTTCTTTTTCTTTCTTTTTTTCATTCTTTTTTTACCTCCCAAAAAGGGGGACCGAGCCGGGCCGCCCCCTCCCCCTAAATCCGCCCCTGCCAGAGGTGACGGAACTAGGGGGTGCTGTGTTATGGAGAGTAATGTGTGACCGGAAATGGTCTGCAGTCAGTTGGTAGTTACCATGTGCCAGTGATGTTGGAGTATACCGTATAGTACAGGAAGATGGAACTATTATGTAGGCCTAATGCATGAATAAAGTTCGGAGTTTGTCGGATAGAGAAATGATTTTTATTTTAAGTGCTCCCTAAATTCATAAGTGTAAGCTAAATTGCGGTGATTAATTTAATTAACGAAGATATGGAGACAATTATTTCAAAATTCCCTCTTTCCAAGAGGGGGATGCTTTAATTGTGAAAATGAGTACACCGCGGTACTCATTTTCACAAAGAAATACACACAACTGGCTAGCTAACAATATGCCAATGTTACAAGAACACCTGGGAAGAAAGGTACAATCACGTTGTTGCCTAGCAAACGCCTGTACTGTATGGGGGGATGTGTATAAGAGACTACTGATGTACTGTGTAGCGGGGGACGATGAGGCAAGCCTAGGCCCAGGCCCAACTAGACAGTGCAACAATATATGTGATAGGGCAAAGCATCCAAGTGCAATCTTAGGCAATGGTGTCTGTTTATCCATGAAAAAAGCACGTCGGGAAAGTTTGCCTTAGGCCAGGAAAAGGTGACGTAATCTAGCTTATGACGTATGCATGCCAACTATATTGTGAGTGTGACGTCACCAAAAACATGAATATTTTCTATTATAACCAAAATATTAACTATAATAAATATTAAACTACAAAGTTTATGGGCGTAAATTCTCTTAATATGAATTAAGGGTTGCACAATCTCCTTGCCATACAAATTACAGCTCGGTAACGCGAGAAACGAATGAGTGTAAAAACGCGCATTTTAGAACGCATTCCTAACCGTGTTTTTGTTTTGAGGCCCGTTTCTACTGGGGAAAATTTTTTTAATAACCGTTTAAACACGTATTTTTTTGCTCAGCAGAAAGAGGAAGAGAACTAGTATAGAAAATCATTCAATTGATTGTTGCCGCCAAATTGACATAGCCTCGATGATCTCATGTGAATTTGGGTAGATTAAAATTGTAATGCGCCTACCCTTTCGATGGTTACATGTTGAGAATACGGCTGCTGCCCTCCCCCCGCCTTTTGGAATATCCACCTATTTTGGGTATTCAAACTTTTTCGACATGGTGAACCTATTTCGATTAAAATGTTAAAGTGATTACATAAGAATTAGATGAGTCACTGTCAATTCGCGGAAGAGGAGTGTTCAAAATATCGGTAATATTCGTATGGGACTAATCAGATGGCTGACGCCGTTCCTTGTCGGCAATTGTGCATTACAATTCATCTACAATTCTCATCTATATACACTAAATAATCTTTACATTCACAATTTCATCTGAAAAAAGTTACCAACAACGATGGAGTGACGGTGTATTAACAGCTGTGGGAAAAACAAATTATCAGCCTGCTGTTCTCTGTTTGAATAGTGATCGTATTTGAACAATAATGATGCAGCAACCGGCTTGGTCAGCTTGTTAAAAATTCAGAGCCTTCTGTTGTTTGCCCATAGATCAAATTTGGGAGTGGTATACAATACGATTTCAAAACATTGTCATTGTAATGAAACAACTATAATATTGAAAACAAACAACTTTTATAAACAAAATCGGTGTACGAATTTAAATAAATATTTACAATAGATTTTAATGGTCCACTTGTTACCGTATCAAATTTTACGACCAATTTTTACATGCATTTGTGAGTGAGTGTGTAATAGACATGCATAACATACATTAGTGGTTAGCTGTAGAATATCATAGACTGATTCATTTACATGCTTGGTCATCTTGTAAAATCATTTAGAAATTATTGTTGGAGGCGTCGTAATTTCAACACTTTCTAAGAATAGGGTCCGTATCTCATATAATTGCCATAGACCCGGTTTTGTACACACTCGCTGAAGTAAATTTCAAAGGAAACTGTTTTCCCCATTTTTCTTATTGTAAACGTGCAATACTGTAGGTCCCTAGTTGCTGGAGTCACCAAATGAGCAGGACTAATTTCGACGTAAGCCAGTAAAAATCTCGATTTTGTCCAGGACTCTAGACGTATTTTTCGGATCGTTTTCGGTTTTCATCCAGCGGCGTGGCTTTCAATCCAGGTCATTGTAAGTTTAGAGCTTGACGGTTTCGGATGTGTTCGTTTAGAGTTGAAATTGAATCGGTAAGTTCCATTTTCAAACATTTATTACCGTATGTCTTAGAATTTGGAGTCTTAGAAGTGTTAAGGTCATGATAATTTTAGTGGGATGTTTAGATCAGTGTGAACCTAATATTAGGTTAGGCTAGGTCTAACCTAATATTATTCCATTAGCTTCTCTACCTAGGGTAGATCTAGGCTTAGGTTAAGTTATGGCCAGGCCTGGGATTTATCAATCTCAGCTTAGCAAATATCAAAAAAATAAGTCAAAAAAGTTTATAGATGTCCCTAAGCAAATATCAGCAAATATCTTTACTTAAAAATCGTCTAAGATGCATCATACGTACAATCGACTTTTTAATTTTAAGCATTTTTAAGTTAACTAAAGCAATATTGATAAATTTGACTGAAGCAAAAAATGATTTCTAGTTTGATAAAGGAACACCGTTATTTTTCTATTTGATATTAATTAGAAATTGCCAGATTGTTTTAATGTCTAGACGCCATATTGTAATTTTGTGACGATAAATATATTTTCCATGATTATGCTTAGGAGGTAGGTGTATAATTTGATATCCAAATATTTTAAATAAATCAACATCTAATAAAATATCGAATAAAATAATTTATCGATAATTATATTGAATATATTTGTTAGTAAAACAGCTTTTATGTGTGAATTTGGTAACAAATATTGTGCTTCAATCTTATTAATTTACACATGTACTTTTGTTTGCAGGTTGTTGGTGGTTGCACACAATCCAGGCCATTGTCAGTTTAGAACTTGACGTTGTTGCATGTGTTCGTTTTAGAGTTAGAATTGAATCAGTAAGTATTCTATTTTCAAACATTTATTATGTCAAGTCTCAATTGCTTAATGTTAGGCTTAGAAGTGTTAATTAAGGTCACGATGATTTTAGTGATGTTGAGATCAGTGTGATTGTGTCCTGTTTGTGAGATTTTTAATGCAGCTATGGTTGTGCTTTTTTTTAATAATTTTTTAAATAATTAGGCCTAGGCCAAACATCATATTTGGAGGTAGGTGGATATTGATCTCCATATCTTGCTAATAAATCAACATCTAATAAAATATCTCATAAAATAATAGTCATCGATAATTATATTGAATATATGTTATAGTAAAACAGCTTTTATGTGTGAATTTGGTAACAAATATTGTGTTTCAATCTTTATGTTAATTTACACATGTACTTTTGTTTGCAGGTTGTTGGTGGTTGCACATGTATATTGTGGGTTTGCAGCTTGAACAGAGTACCCCGCGGAAAAGACCTCAAATACCAACAGGTGCACGTCATCGGATGACATTGGCCGATGACGAAATGATCTGAGATTAGGTCATTTACCTGATGAAGATACTATTTTGAATCCGGTTTAAATACTGTTGTATTTAAACAAGTTTAAATATTAAAAAGCATATTGATGATAAAGCATTTATTTAAATAATGAAAATCATATTGTGGATAGAGCAATGAAAAGCATACATTGTAGATAAAGCATTATTTTATTTAAAGATTTTAATACCGAGAAGCACGATATGCATAAACCATTTTTTTTTAATAAACAGATTTAATTTCTGTGAGGCATGTTCTTCATTTAGCCACTTTTTGAGACAGTTTTAAATATTAAGAAAATATTAAAGAGTTTTAAATATTTTTTTGTTAAAACAGGTTTAAATACTGTGAAGGCTAATTGTGGATAACACTTTTTTTAATACATATTTAAATACCGTGAAGCATATTGTAGTTAACAATAAAACAAGATCGACTACTAACATGTCTATTAGTATATTATATGTTGTTTTGTAGGCAGTGGCTTAGCTAGATGGGGTCAAAGGGGGGCACGTGCCCCTTGCGCCACGTTTGAAGGGGCGCTGAAATGGGAGAATGAGAGTAAAAAAATAAGCACTTTTTTGAAAAACACGACGAAATTAATGTACTCCGTCAGGCATGAATATTTTAATAAGAACCCGAATGTAGTTGTTTTTAGTGGCAAATTCATAGATTGTGATTTCTTTTCAGTCCATTTCGACCGTTTTCTCTTGTTTTTTATCCTATTCTGTAATGACTAGATAACTAAAGCTCATCCTGCCATATCTCAGAGCCACGATAGGAAAAGCAAGACTATCTGCTTTGGCACTACTTAGTATTGAGCGTGATGAAGCAGACAACATTGCTAACTTTGATCATGTTATTAACTTATTTGCTGATACAAAAGCACACAATTCAGTTGCAAGTTTAAACAATGTTAAAAATTTAGCAACTTACAATACTCTATTATAAGATAAATTTAGAGAATAAGAATACTGAGATGTAGACCTATGCGATAAATACAACAGCCTTACAAATTAATATAATGGTAAAGTTGTATACAAAGTTCCGAACATTGTAAATGTAGTTTTAATAAGAAACAGGGATGGCGCCAGGGCCCCTTCGGGAATAGCTGCGCCCCTCCTCCCCTTCGTCGGAGAGAAAAACCGTATTTTGTTGGATATAAATCAAATTATATGTATTTTGTAAATATTAGTAGATTCTAAAATCGATTAAATAAGCCTTTGAAACCCATAAATTGTCAACAATTTTCTGGGTCTTCGCCCCCATCCCTCTAGGCCACTTTCCCGGGAAGATTTAAGCGACGCTCGATCATGCCCACTTTGCTCGCTTCAAGTCTTCCCCCTCGTCGGGGCATCCCCCCCCCCCGAACATTGGACCCCCCTCGGGCAAATCCTGGCCCCATTCCTGGTAAAAAGAACATACGAGAGCTAGGATAATAATAGTTATTCGGGTTTAAATAATGTTATTTAGACAGTGCATTATATGGACGTCCCGATGGACGTACAGTACGCATATGCTTAAAGTATATACAACCAATATCAATTAATTTCAAAATATTATAATTATAATTGGGAGGGGGGGGGGAAATTTTCTACTCTTGCCCCCGGGAGCCAGAACCTCTAGCATTGTAAACAAATTTTTTGAAACCCATTCTTATAAATCACTAAATCATACATTTCTACCAACCTTTAATACTAAAACTAAAAATCAGTAAACCCTTTTATGTACTGAAGTATCTATTAGTATTTACATCAATTGCATACTCGCAGCATTTTACTTTCTATTAGAAATTGCTAGTATAAAATTGAAAGATCAATTAAACACTCTAAAGATCGATTATGCCCTCTTATATATTATTGTAGGCCTAATAGGCCTAATGTGTGTGAAGTACTGTCTTTGTTAATATCGAATTGGTGAAATTGCGCATAATATTAAATACGTCTGTAACTATAATTTTATAAAGACTTGCAAATGCAAGTCAAAAATTAACTTTTAAATGAAGAAGAACACGAGCCAGTAATAATTTTGTTTATAATGTTAAAGTAAGAGAGGCCTACTGGTAGGCCTAAAGAATTATAGTAAAAACGGATTATACGATACATGCTAAAATGTTGTGATGGATGTAACATTCCTATTCGTCACGTGCTGAATTATTGGTCACTTTATATTATATACTGTACCATTATATTTATCCATTATATCAACCTCACTCACTGAAGTGGGCGTGCCACTTACCTACTACTATACTCTGCTGGTCCTTTCCCTGTAGGCCTACTATTAAACGTAATGGTACTACGTAAGATGGTGCTACCATGGACCTCATGGTGCTACAATATATTTACTCCGGTCCAAAGACATGATGCCAGGCTAGTGATCTGGAGATCGTGGGTTCGAGTCCCACCCGAGAACAACTTGCAAATTTTTCCGCAATTTGTTTTCAAACGTACTGAGTATTCAGTACATTTCCACGTCAGGTAGGGAAAAATTACACCTAGGCCTATACATGTGTTTCTCCTGACGCAAATCCAGTTTGTCTATTCCATCACGACAATAACAATTACTATCAATAGACAACTGTACTTAAAATTCACTTTCAATATTTGTTTTGCATATCGATTTTATGAAAATTTTAAAGTAACGTATTTTGCAATAAAAATATTTTAATATTGCTCATTTTAACTGTCGCCAACAAAATCAAACAAACAAATAAACGAAAGAAATCCTCATATAATCAAAGTAAAATTTTAAATAGCTCATTTAAGAAGATTAAATGAATTAGGCCTATTTCTTTTTATATATATTTACGTTGTTGTGATCATTAACTTTTAATTTTTACCGTTATTGCCATTTTAACATTTTTACCCTGTACAATTTTTAACTTTCTTTTTGTTGCATTTTATCAGTTCATGTACCACATTGCGAGAAATTAAATTTCCTTACTGAGGATGAATAAACGTTTTGAATCTTGGATCACCCAAAAAAAAAAAAAAAAAATATGCCTATATGTTCTCTACTTAAAAGTAATTTTATACTGCAAATATCAGTTAATTTGAGAGTCTGTGCATAAGAATACAGAAAATAATTATTTCCCATTCATATTTTAATTTAATCAAATAGCAAATAGATAATCAATTTAGGTACGTACCGGTACTGATGCTGCTGCAAGTAGTATCGGACTGGGAATCGCGGCAGCGCGCGGCGCGGCGAGGCGGACCACTAATTACCTGCACGCATGCGTATTTGATAGTAGGCCGCTGCTGCTGCTTATCTTCTTCTTGGTGGTGGTGTCTGTACTCAGCGATTTCGCAAGTTTTGGAAAAATATATTCAGCTAAAAATGAGTGATACAAAAACATACACATTAGAAGAAGTTAAAGAACATAACAATGGTAATTCACTCTGGCTTGTAATCCATGATAAGGTTTACGATGTAACAAAGTTTATTGATGAGGTGAGTATAAATAATTACACTTATCTAGCCTAGCTAGGGCCTAGGCCTAGTAGGTTAGCCCTAGCTTAGCCGGGGTCCTCACCTAGGCCTAGCCTAAGCGAAGTGGCCTAGGCCTAGGCCTTCGTAATAGTAGTAGGCCTAGTAGTAGTAGTAGTAGTGTTGCTAGCAAGGTCTAGCTTTATATAAAAAAGGAGAACAGACCTAGGCCTGGCGCTAATGCACTTTAGTACTGTAACACTTCTATCTTCAAAACTTGTCTTTTTACCTACTGTGTGCTCCTAACAATATCTTACGGTGTTTCTTCATTCAGATTCTGCTTAATAACATAGGTTTTTAGCATTTTATTACTAAAAACCACTGCCTATGGCTCCATCCGTCATCTCCAATGGCAAATTGGCGATCGAACCTAATGCTGTTGCCAGAATTCAAACTTTATGATTTGGTGTTGCCAGAATTAGTAAATCAAAATGAAGCTTCAGATATTCAGAACTTATTGTAGAGCGCAAGACTCCACTAAAACAGTATGACAATTTCGATGGCTCGTAAAAGAAGGGAAAAGGAAGGCAGCAGAACATGCATACATTATGAAAGTATGTATAAATAAATATATGTAGGTCCTAAGTGCAATGACCTAAGTATAATAATGGCCATGATTGATTGAAATAATTTTTGGGTCTAAATATAATACAAGTATTATGCATTTTAGGGTCTAAATGTAATAAAAGTTCTAAGTGTAATGATTTTTGTGCCTAAATGTAATAAAGGTCCTATGTGTAATAAGTTTTGGGTCTAAATGTAATAAAGGGTCAAAGTGTAATAATTATTGGGTCTAAATGTAATAAATGTCCTATGTGTAATAATTTTTGTGTCTAAATATAATAAAGGTTCTAAGAATTTTTGGGACTAAATGTAATAAAGGTTCTAAATGCAATGTCCTAAATGCAGTGTTATAATGGCCATGATTGACAAATGATTGATTGTAATAATTTTTGTGTCTAAATGTAATACAGTTCCTATGTGTAATAATTTTAGGGTCTAAATGTAATAAAGGTTCTAATTGTAATAAGTTTTGGATCTAAATGTAATAAAGGTGCTATGTGTGATAATTATTGTTTGCTCAAATTCGGTCATACTAATTACCGTCAACAGGGCCGCCAAGAGCGGCCACGAGCCCTGTGACATCTTCGCTGCTAGGACCCATTAGTTGAGGGTCTGGGGCCGCCAAGGACCTCGATTCGCAATGTTTGTCATCACTTCAAGATGTCTACCGATTTGTGAAAAAGGCGTATGGGCTATGCCTAGACAGACTCGGATCTCCATCTACCTAGGCCTTTACAGGGATTGTAGATGTAGAAACCTAAGGGTGGGTTATAGACATTTTAAGGGTGGGTGAGTAATAACTGTAAATAATAAGAGTGTATTTTATGGATGGAAAATTGAGTTAGTAAGGGTGGGTGAAGGTCCATGAAATTAGCTTTAGACTGGATGGAAAACTTTATGGCTGGGTGGCCCCACCCACCATCACTACTGTACATCCCTGCATCTACAGTAGTACTTGAGGCCTTACACCCCTGCTTAGGCCCACTACATTGTACATTCATACATTGTCCTTCATTTACAGTATATTACTATTAAAACTTTATCATGATTAAATTGTTGTAACAAAATGTCCATCTGTTAAAATATATAATTTTTGATCTATGTTCCTAATCTTACCTAGGCAGGCAGGCCTAGGCCTAACTTAAGAATATCAATTATTAAGAATAAGAATTATTATTAAACAGTTTTAAATACTGTATTTATGTTTACTACTACATACTTTACTGCCACTCTGCCAGGTAGTTGCTTGACTTCCCAGCCTCTGATGTTATTTCTTTTTCTAGGATTATTTGTTTCCATTTTGACATTGGAAATGTTTCCGCAGCACTTATCCGATAATTATTGGAAAGCAGTAATTTTTTCGCTGCAAAAACTGGACCCAATGTTTCCGATAAATTTTCGTAAAGAGTCAGATATTATCAGAAAAATCTCTGAATGTGAAGTGAAAATGAATAACTTTGACCAATGTCAAATCTTGCAAAGAATTCTTTTTGGAGATTTTCTAAGGGAAAGTAGCCTAGGGTCACCTGCTAGGTCAACAACACAGATTTTTTTTATGTTGAAAACATTGTGTTGTTGTACATAATGTTGCATGATACTGTAGAATAAAATATTTAGAAAAAATTTTAAGATTTTTATTACCGGTAAATTATAATTGCTGCAGAAACACGGCTTTTCCGTTTTAACATAAACAGCATGTACATACTGTACATAAACAGCTGGTTCATTTTGCACCCATAGTATTTTTAGTGAAACACCAGGGCTTGATTTTCTAACCTGGTACCTCTGTAGGCATGTTATAGTATAGACCTAGTCTTACCATAGTTAATACTGTATTTTATTAACTGTATTTTATTTTATTTTTTAAATTTTTTTTTTGTGCACAGCATCCTGGTGGTGAAGAGGTTTTACTTGAACAGGCAGGTGAGGCAATGGGCAGACATCTTTTCTTTGTAATTTAAAAAAGATGTACAGTAGTCACAATAAAAAAGAACATTTTTACATTAAAACTAGATTTGAACTCGTCACTGCGGACGAGTTAGGTGATCCGCCGCACTTTGACCCTCAGGAAGTGTGCGTGGTGTGGATTGAACAATTATGAAATGCTGAAAATGGGCTAAAGTATACGCTAATTCAGTTTTTTTTTAAAGAATTAGGAGCACGTTAAAAGATTTACTCCTATGTACAGTATGTGCACGTCATGACGCACGTGCGCATGATAAGGTCACAAAATTTTGACTCCTGATATGAGATCAACTCTCATTGATAAACGCCTTTTGGTGAGTGACTTCTTATCATTTATAATATTTATCATATAAAAATTCAGTTTTTTGAATTCAGATGGCAATATGACGACGTCACAATGTCCGATCAGTCATAATGATCTATAAAATCATATCTACAACTCATATGCTTTCAGAATATGCAATAAAAATTGGGGGTCGTCTTTCATCCTCAGGAGCTATATTAAATATATTCATAATTTTAAGCATATATAAATTTTGACGCGCACGTTATCTCAAATTTGCCGCAAGCAAGGCACATGCACGTTTCAACGAACATTTGGCTTGGCCTGGAATAGTCACAATAAGGTTTTCAATCTACGCGCAATTTTGCATTTTTACATTATCGATCATATCAGACTAACCAATTGCCATTATTTTATATTCTTTTTGTCCACAGTTGATTTACAGTATACCGTAGTGCATTACATGAATGAATATTTATAACAACAAAATTAAATTGTTCTTGTCAAACACAGTAAAAATATGTATGGCTCATAAGTATAGTACTTCTGTTTTTTATGTAATCTCTACATACTGTATTCAGTAATTTATCATGCTTTCAGTGCACTTATCTGTAAACTTCAGTTTGTCTGTATGCCTGGTTCCAAGCAGGAGGCAAATGTTGTATTTTAAATTACATTTCAAATGCTTACAGGCGGGGATGGATCGGAGTCTTTTGAGGATGTAGGCCACTCATCAGATGCCCGAGAACTAATGGAGGACTATTACATAGGTGATTTGGTTGAGGTAAGTTCTATGTTCATTTAGGCTGTTTATTTAACTGTAGAATTATAATATATTTAGTGCTTGCAGTACACCACATGGATAGTTCTGAAAAGAACTGTCGTTTGTTGAGAATGTCTCGACATTTCGATTGAGTTGCTTCACTTGTCTTCAGGAGAAATAGCCTCTCTCCTGGTAAAGAAACAAAATTTCATTTTAATTTTTCCTCCACCTCTGACAATTGTTTTCTTAGGCACAGAAAAATTTTTAAAAAATAATTTAAAAAAATAAATAAAAAAATAAATAAATAAAAAAAATAAAGTTTTATTGATGAATGTAAGCAGTGTGGTAATGAGATTAATGCTTTAAAGTTATAAAATTTAGGAAAAACTATATACCTTATTTTTGAAGATTGCAATAATAAGCGTAATAAAAATAAATAATATATTTTTTTTCTGAAATATCCATTTTTTCATAGTGGAGGGTGCTCTGTCAAAATTTTTTTTTTTAAAATCACCATTATCGGTAGTTGGAGTGTTTACTATAAACCAAAGTATAAAAAATCTTGTCTACTGTATTATACTGTAGTCATTCTTTATTAAAAACAATAAAAAGAATATGACATGGTTTAATAAGGTGCATGCAGGGTGTGAACAACAAAGATATAAGGTAAAACATGTTTTTTTTAAAGAAGAATCAATTAGTATTGGCAATTCACCCACTCCAGACGAGTGTATAGCATTCCATAGCATACTGTAGCTACAGGTCAATGCCAGCTTGCTAATTTGTTTTTTTATATGTTTTACATCATTTACTACTTAATTTAAAAATATTATTTTATCTTGTTTCATTATTTTTTTTAAATTATTTTACATCATTTACTCAATATTCGTTTTTTTTTTTTTTCTGGATTCAGGAAGATAAAGGAAAAGGATCAGCGAAGGTGTGTATTTTCTCTTTAAAAATCAGCAGAGTATGAAATAAATGTGGCAAAGACAAGCCAAACAAGTGACTCCTCTCAAAAATCAATTTTTTGTTATCAATACATTTTTACACAGTAAAATGAGAGATATGGTAAAAGAATCGCTATGAAGTTACAGAAGTTTAAACATAATGTACAGCTGTTTAAAGAACAATATTTGAGAAATCTCCCTTCAAAGTTTATGATATCAGGCGTTATCAGGCAGAACCCATCACCATATCATTAAAAATTGTTGTTTTAACATTGAAAATGGGGAAAATAACAACAAAGCATTATGTACAGATAAATGTTAGTTTAGTGCAATAAAATAGATTTCAAAAATGTTGAAATTCCAACATGTTTTGGCCATTATACGATTTGCAACAAGTGACTTGCTTGGATTGTCTTTGCCACCAGTTCAAGTGTTATACATTGAATTTTATTTTGATATGAAATGGATTTTAGCATTTAATGTACATACTGTTGAAAAGTCTCATCAGATACAAAAGTATTCTTGAGATATTCAATATTTTTCATAATAATCAAATAGATCAAAATGTTAAAATTTTTGTTAGAGTTACTGTCATTTGGGTTGTTTATTAGATACAAAAGTGATCAGCTGTAACTGTTCAAAAAAGAGTGTTGGTATCAAGTTTTTAATGCCGTGCATTAAAAAAAAAGTTATATTGTTAAAGCATGTTGAAAAATAATTCAGAATGGAATCTCTTACTTATTTTTGTGTTTTCACTTCTTATTTTCTTAAAACAGAAGAATTACATTATTAAGAATATTTGCATATAGAAATTACTATTTTTTTGTTTTGTTTAAATTTGTAGCCTGTGAATCCAGCAAGTGTTCCCGAAGATGATAACAGGGAGCCGTATGTATATTTCTGTTTACTTGACTTATTACTAGCTGTGTTACTACATGCACAGTATTTATTGGTTTTATTTTACCATAGCACATTGTAGTAAACCACTATCAATTATCACGCCACCATAAAAGAACCAACAACTATTCCAAATTATTATTTCAATAATAGTAATAATGTTAGACTTACCTGTGGAAGAGTATTTGAGTGGACCTGCTGAAAAGACATTTTGAAGAGAGGTATTGCACTTAAAGCCAGCATAGCCTCTAAGCACTTCATATTATGACACTCACCATCCGGTCATTGGATGGAACACATACTCAATTCCCTGGTGAGAATTCCATAATGTTGCAGCAAGTACTCAACACATTTTGTGTTTGAACCTATCATGTACCCACTTGTACTCCAGGGTGGAGGGAGACAACCATGGGTAAAGGGCTTAGCCAAAAGGACACAAGCAAAATGCACAGCGAAGGATTGAAACAGACCTCAAATGTAAGAAGCAAAATTCAACCCCACTGTGCCAAACCTCTTCTTTATTTAATTTAATCAAAGAACTTAAATAGCAGAAGAATGAGCGGCTCCGCGTATTTTGATTAAAATTGATGGAACATCCGCTCTCCTGTGAATGGGGTAAAATTTGAACATTTTACTAAGTGGAGAAATTACAGGAAACAAACGAACTAGAGCGGTGCCTTTATCATTGCCATATAGTGCCGCCGCGCGGACGGGGTAAAATTGCTCTCCGTGTACCCACAATGCCTTTCGAACGGATGTTCCACTATATTGAGAAGCTGCTCTATCTTCTGCTATTTATTATCTTTGATTTAATGTACTAATACTGACATATAACATGATTCTGTCATTGAGAGTGACGGAATTGTTTAAACTACAATGGCCTTAGATTAAAGTGAATTTTATTGTTTAATCATGCCCCAATTAAAGTGCATAAAGCCTCATACCTGATTAGGGTATGCTAACTAAACAACTGTTATAATTTTTTATGGATAGCATTTGCTGCCAAGTACTAAGTTGATAAGCTTTTTGAAGATTCCCAACAACAATCAGACCGTAGTTGTAAGTAAAGTCATTAAAAACATCTTGAGTTGAAATTGATTAAAACGTTTCTATTTGAGTTAAAGGTAGCAAGATATCAAACTTAGCATTGCTAGACACTGATTATCAATTTTTAAACTCAAGGAATGGTAAAAAAAAAATAAAATAAAATAATAATAATAATAATAATAATTAATAATAATAATAATAATAACAACAAGAAGAGCACTCAGTAGAGAGCATATCTCTGCCAACCGAAAATCCCTTTCTATAAAAAAAAAATCTTCCAAAATAGGTTTCTAATTTACTTCAGTCACCACCACTACCACCTCACTTCACGCCACTCCTCTTCAGAAAAGCACAGTAAAAATCCGAAATGATTTCACCAAAATTTACTGTCGGCCTATTTTCCCTACACATACAGTAGAACCCCTCATTTACGATCCCCGATTTTACGAATTCCCGATTTTACGAACGTAATATAAAGGTGATGACGTCATAAAAATTGAAGCGAAAGATTAAAAAAAAAAAACCTGCTCGAATTGTACCTGTTATTACCATGCATACAACACAACACACCATACTATACAGTACTATGTAATTCTCAAGTGAAGGAGGCCCTCTAACGGGCCTCTTCAAATTCAGTGTTTTTTATGGCTTCACACATGTGCATGCGACAAATTTTACTTCTCTTTCAAACATCGTTTTCAGCTTTAAAATTCAACATAGTGCTTGATTGTTTTATTGAATGATCAATATATATAATAAATCGGATTACATCTGTCTCTTATACACATCTTGTGATATTTACTTGAATCTTTTCCTTTTCCACAGTTCAACTATATGGTCTTGGCTAATACCAGCTGGCATAGCCCTATTGGTGGCGCTTGCCTACCGCTACTACCTTACATCGTCTACCTAACACCTTATCTGATGTGAGCTACTAGTTCTGTGTCCATTGATAATTGCTATCCCTGTCATGCTGAACCTCTTTGAGTATCTTCATAATCTTGAACACAAATGTGGACTAATTGAGAAAATGAATGCCTGTTGAACGTTTTTGATTTTGATCAACTGTAATGAAAATAATAATTGCAGCTGAAAGTAATTCAATCATTATTATGCACTTTTTAATAAGAATAATTTTTTACAAGGGACCATAATAAACAGTTCCACATGGTTTGTTTTCAGTGTTTTGTGTTTGATAAATACAGTATTGATAGATTAAGGTGGGGCCTACTGTACTTTGAGAAACATCTATTTTATATTAGAGTTCATACACTGTTTTATGTGATAAATATCTTTGATTTTCCCATATATGGGCATGATATGATAGCATAGCATTATACTCATATTGATAGAAATACAAATATATTTGTCACATTTTATAGTTTGGTCAGAGGCTTATTGTATAATTTTTAAATAACATATTTTTGTGATTTTTAAAAGAAAAGAATAAAGCCTTTTTACTGTCACTACCATTATAGTCTATTTTACACCAGATTTTCTGGGCCTATTGATTTTCTTCAAGAATAATTTATTCTGGGTTATCTGAGGGCTTTATCTTGTAATGAGTAAAAAAATGATAATGCCGAAAAAGGGGATAAGATTAGTGATGATAAAAATTTATTTTGCCTAAAGGCCTGTTTATACTGTACTTGCAATGATAACGATAACGATAAAAAGCTAAAAAGCAATTTTTCATATAGAAAATGAAAGAAATAAGAGAAGTTTTTACACTGGGACGATTCGATAACGAATTATCGTGTATAAAATAACAAAATTTTTTGACAGATCAATTCAAATGATATAATCATGAAAAAAATCCCATAAAATCGATTTTATGTCATTTGAATTGATTTGTCAAAATATTTTTTTATCGTATACACGATAAATCGTTATCGAATCATCCTAGTGTAAAAACTTCTCTTAATTCTTTTATTTTCTAAATGAACAATTGCTTTTATCTTTTTATCGTTACCGTTGCAAATATAAACAGGCTTTTACTATGCATTTGGAACTTTATATATTTTCAAAACAAAAAATATTCACTTCTGAGATTATGAACTTGCTCATTCTTCATTTCTAACCACGATGCTTGTATTCTTAAATCTTAATAGAATCTTGTAGAAATCATTGTTGATAAATTATATAAAAATGATTTTTTTTTTAAATTTCAGTTTAATATCTATTATAACTTATAATAATGATATATCTTGTTACTTGTAGTGACCAATAATTATTGTAATTCAGATAAAATGAATAAATTACCACAGATAAAATCATTGCAAGTTTTGTTTTTAAATTACTTATGTATTTGATTTAAAGATAAATTATCTGTTATGAAATTTTCGAAAACCTTTAAAAAGACAAACTGTATAACAAATAGCTGATTTAAAAGGGTTAAATACGCCATTAACTTAAAAGTCAGGCTCCGGAGGAAAAAAATTGTTTGATGTTGTAGAACTGATTTTTCTAAGACAGAAAAAAGTTGTTTGACGAAAAACTGGGGAACGGTGAACGAGATACAGATTTTTGAATATTTAAAAACTGGGGGAAAATGGCGGTTATGCCCCTTTTTATAAAGTATATAAAATAAAGTATAAAAAATCATCAAAATGTAATCCGAAATTTCGGATTAGTAATCCGAAATAACGGATTAGTAATCCGTTATTTCGAATTAGTAACTCGTTATTTCGGATTAGTAATCCGAAATAACGAATTACTAATTAAAAATTTCGGATTAGTAATCCGAAATAACGAATTACTAATTCGAAATAACGAATTACTTAATTCGAAATTTCGGATTATTAATCCGAAATAACGGATTACTAATTCGAAATAACGGATTACTAATCCGAAATAACGAGTTACTAATTCGGATTACTAATCCGAAATTTCGGATTACATTTTGATGATTTTTATATATACTTAAGTGGCACGAATAGGCTTTCGTAGATTTTAGTTGTAATTCCATTTACAGGTTCTGTATTTTTATAGGGCCTTTAACAATATTTGCAAAATCTTGAAATGGGGCTGTAAATTGGTGGTTAAGGTGCTTGCCTTTTAAGCCGAGGGGTCATCAGTGTGAAACAAATTTAATTTCTACTGTTCGCGTGTAAATTATCAAATTAAAAAAAGTCTTGTTGAATGTGTATTAACTGCTTTTTTGTCAGTGATAGCTAGGATTTTCACGCCAGTGATGGGGTGGGGATAAGCTATCCGACAGGTTGTCTGACACATACACATTCGGAGACAATTCTGCCCTACTCTGAGAGAAAAGGCATTAAGTAACAAAATCATAATAATAATAATAATAATAATAATTTATTTCGGAAAAACGCTTTTAAAACAGCGGCTTCCATTACAATAATGGTGCATCCAAAGTAACAAAATGAAATGTACAAAGAAAGTCGCAGAA